ATCGCAAATATGCATATATCGTTGCTTGAATTGAACGTTATCCATAATTTTGTAAGTCCTATTTAAAATCATTTTTGTCAATTAGTTCAAAAATTTAAAAACAACTTGACTCCTTCGTGCCAAATTTTGCCGATCATTTAATAATAGAAAGTTAAAAAGTCCTGGTCAACATGATCATATGCCTTGTAATATTTATAGATTCAAGTTGTGATTATTATAATCTTCAATAACTCGACACTCTAATATTTTACTTGCAAATTGTGATACGGAAGATATTTTTCCAAAATAATAATATGTTACCTGCTTCGATGGAGACGGCCATAATATACTGTTGCCATGCATGTGGCAATAACTGAAAGGTAAGACTAGTAGGATTAAGGTACAGATGCCTTTCCATTTCGTTTATTTTATCAATTAGGTTTATTCACAATGCTTTCTTAAAGAAAACAAAATCGAAGACTGCTTTGTAGCAGATAGACTGGATTTGTTTTGTGAAAATTGGAGTTGGAACTTCATAGCTTTTCACTTCATGTAGTTTTGAGTTCCTAAACTTTAAAAGAAATTTTTGATACTCTATCTGTTTAAAAATTGTCAATTTGAACGATAAAATCGTACATTTTTACGGACTTTAAAGAGTATAAAAAAATTATAAAAAATAATTGATAAGAACTTAAAATCAAAAACTAGTTTTCTAGACATGTTTTGCACATAGTATGATACGGGAAAAGAATTTATAATTTAAACAAAATTATTATGTCAAATTTAAGATCTTTCATTGTTTAATATTGTTAATTTTTTTAGTAATATTTATATATAATATAACTTCAATAAGTATAATGATATTTACAATTTTTAGTATATCGTATTACACTATTTTAACATGATAATATTAGAATTTAAAATCCACATTTTTTAGTATTATAATATGCCTAGTGTTCTATCGTTATAATTGACAAATAGACTTTTGAAATGCGGACAAAATTTTAAAATATCAAAATATTTAGATTAAAAAAATTGTGGGATGGGACATAAACATTAACTATAATTTTCTATCAAAATCAAATATTCTAAAAAAAAAAAAAAGTTGGGAGGCTATGCATTCAAGAGCCTTTTTAATGATTAGTAGTCATAATTTAGTTAAAAATAAATAAAATTTTCATATAAATTAAAGCTTATACTAAGTGAATGTAAATTACGGGGCTGACTATAATCAATAAGATTAATAACTCAAAAAATTGAATATTATATGAACATGTGTATTGAATCAAACTCGTAAGGGTTAAAAATTTTAAGAATATGACCACTCGAAATTTAGGAGAATCTAATTTTAGATTTTGATGATTTTTTTTTTCTCTTATCCAAAGTTTAATTGAAAAAATGCAAATCCCAATAAGCACCAAACTGCTTTCTAAACTCACAACTCGTACATAAATTTCTTGCAAATGAAAATGTGGCATTCGAATTTTCGCTTGAATTGAATAACTGGATGCAAGTAAGATTCTGCTAAAAAAAGACTTGTAGAAAATAAATTCGAAGTTAATTATCCAATTTAATAAATCTTTACATAATTTACACCACTGAAAAGTTCATCATAAACAAAAAATAGAGAAAAAAATAATCTATCGATTGGTTGTTGTTCTCTATAAAAAAGATTGACTATCACTCCGATCAAAAGAGACCACATTTAAATTTCATATCATCATGAAAATAATATAAGTTTGATTAATAAATTTATAATTAATTACTAACATACTACACGTCAACAATTACATAAAGAAAGTAAGATAGGACATAAAATAATTTATAAACACATACTCAAGATGTGATATGTGAGTGATGGGTTACGGATAACAAATGCATAATTGAGATTGAAAGTAAGGGAGTTCTCATATAGTTTTTCTCACTTATTTCCTCCCTTGGATCAAACTCTCATAAAAAAATATCAATTCATAGCAAAATATTTATATTATGGACAACGAATGTTCTATAATTATGTATTTGATCAATAAAAGATTTAAAGGTTGCAATTATGAATATAGTTTATTATTTTCAACAGAAATATTTAGGAATGTAATATTAGGTTTGAAATTTTTTAAATGTTTAAGTAATTTTAATTTTTATAAATTCTATATATTAATATGAATCGACTTAATAAAATTTGCCATTTCAAATTAGTTATATATGTAGTATTATTATAATTTCTTTTAATGGTATGTAATAATATTTTTATTAATTGTGTAATAATAATTAGTAATAATTGTGTATAGTGGAAATTAATTGACTTAATTTCTGATAACAATAATAATTATTAATTATCTTATTTAGAGAAAATAAATTGAATGTCAATGGTATTGATCATCATAAATATAAAAATGTAAGGTAAAATGTGAAATCGAATATTTATCACCTATTCACACATGGGCTATTGAAAAATGACTTTTTGTCTTATAATTTTATCAAATTAACGTAAAATAATGGTGATTAAAGAGTTGATGGTTATTAGAAAATGACTTTTTATCTAATACTTATCAAGTGAATGTTAGTTAACAAGATTTTTTTAACTATTATGTTTTTATTTTCAATAGAATCTGTTACCTCTCGCCACCGAAACTCCCACATAAAGCCTACGTCGCATCCCATGTGGAGCTCGAATGGACCTACGGAAGCCCTCGAACTGAAGTGGTTGCACAAATGGACCTATTGAAGCCCCCTTGCTGAAGTGGTGGTGCTCAAGGAGGCTAAATTGAAGCTCTACCACGATAAGTCACGACTTACCACCTTTGAAGATCTCCTATTGATAAAATTCTATTAGGATGATTGATGTGAACCCTGTAATGAGTAATACATCGAAATCTTGTCAACGTATGCTATCCCTTTTTAAAAGCATTAAATGCACCGCTAGTAGGGTCAAATTAATGCTTACGATAAGATGTTTTGGTTGAGGAGATGAGGCCACTTGTCCCCTCATCAAATGGACAACATTTTACGTGTAATACTATAAATATCCACCCTCTAGTATTATTTGAGGGTAATGCAAATAGATGTATTTTAAGTCATATATCATCTCCTCTTGAGTTGAATCATTTATTGGTAAAGTAAGATGTTTGATCTTAGTTTTTACTTTTTGTATAGTTGATTGTTCCTTATCATACGATTCTGCTCATACATCTTGTCCGTGTCCAAACATTTTTATCATGTGTTATAAAGCTTCTCTCCCCATCCAAACCCAAAACATCGTCGACTATTAATCCGTCCAAACGTGTCGAAATTAGCTTGCTGGATGCGAGTGTGTCCGATATTTGTTGTCCACGTCAACGATACAAAAAAGGAGATCCGCAGATTGACGTCGCTGGTGGGAAATTGCCACTACAACCACGAACATTCCTATGGAAAAAGTTGTTGGGCATCACCCATGAAAAAATATTTGTTCTTGAAAGAGAACAAGTGGAAGCCCGAGAAGTTTGAAAAAAAAATCCGAGAATTCAACTTAGGAAAAAATAAGTTCACACCATGATATTTCTCCCAAGAGGGTGAGAGAAAACCCTAATGAAGGGATCCCTAAGCAGCATTAAAATATCTCCATTTCGTTTTTTTGTGGATGTAGGCGCATTATCGAACCACGTTAAATCCTTGTGTTGATTTCTCTCTTTTACTTATCTATCATTACATATAAAATCCAACATAAATTAATTTATAAATGGTCAAATTTCATTTTTAACCATATTTTTCAAAGAACTCACATGTACTATCTATTTATCCACCATTCTCTTATATTATTTTTTTAAGTAAACCGTTTACAAATTCTTTGACATTTGAAAACATGAGCCTGACTCGGATTTTAGTCATAATGAACTTCTTTTAGATCTGCAGAACTAATTTGAATCGTCTTTAATCTTTCGAAATATAGGTAATATCACTAATAGCTTATTAACTTCAATAGAAACATGTTTAAATTTTAATTTTTGGTCATTGGCTACATATCCATGATCTTTAATTTAACTACAAGTCATTCTCGAAATTAATCAAAAAGTATTGTAGATAAATCACTAATTTTATCAATAACAGAGCATATCCAATTTAATTCAGTGAAATTGATGTCTAGTTAACAGATATTAAAATTTAAAATTGGTTCCTAATGGGTTCTATCTATAATTTAATAATTTCGCTTACGTGTTTTTAAATTAAAAATAAATTCACATCCAAATCTGCATAAAAATTATGTTGAGTCAGAATGTCTAACAAAACTTATTAATATAAACGGAGTTCTAGACAATGTCAATTTTCTTTTGCCATGCAGAGTCGTGTCATCTTACATTGCAATGAATTTTTCACACATTATTTATTTTACTTATTTATCGTTTATCATATCTATATTAAACTCAAATTTTAGCTGGATCAATTCAATAATTCTTAAATGGATTCCTCCAACTGGAAGTAATCTATATACGATTGTGCTCCAGCGCATGTATATAATAGTTTACATACATCTGATGTGGTGAGATATAATTGAGTCGAATTTTTTTCAACCAAATTAAAAAAAAACTTTAGTTATCATCTGTATGTAAATAATTATCACATCTGCTTATATTACCTAACACCTAAAATAGGGTTAAATGCATCACCGGTCACTGACCACCGGTGAAGGGCCACTCCAGCATACAACGTTAGTTAGACTCATGGCCATAGATGGAGCGACAACAATTTCACGCAAATCAAAGTTAAGTTGATTGGTCAAAATTAAAAAATGAGTGACCCACATTTATTGAAATTTTAGTGATTTGAGATGGATTTAACCATCTGAAATAAGTTTGCGGGGTCATGCATGTCCATATTGCTTGATGATGTCTTGCAGAGATTGCCTTTTTCCCTAACTTGTTCTAACATAAATACAAGTATAAATAATTAAATATGAAGAGTGGAACGTTCAATGCACAACATAGGCACTTTAGTTCAAAAGTTAATAGCGTCCTTCACTTCTTCGCCTCAACATTCTCTGGAAAATGGATAATAGGCAGCAGAATAATACACCCGGGCTGGCGCCAGTCGACAACTTCAAATCACAAATATCACTGAGCTATGTTGGCCGACGTTTTAAAGAAAACTATCCACCTGATTTCTTGAATAAGGTACGTACTATTAAACATCAATTTAGTCATGCAGCTTATATATTTGCATAAGTTGCGTACTTTCGCGATAATTTCATTGCACACTTTTTCCTTCTATGTTCGTAGTCCAAATATGTATTATACTACACTAATATTCTTATCCTATATAGAAGGGGAGGGGGCATTTTTGGATGGACAGTTTGAGGTGTGTGAAAAACCTTTCAGCCCCTATTTGGTTCAGCAAAAAAAAAACAGATTAAAATCTGAATCGAAGTCAATGATTAATTTTAACCACACTTTCATACGACTCACAACTTTTCAAATTTCAACGACACATTCCATCAACTTTTATCTAAACCAAGCAAGAGCTTAATATCTTTCTTCATATACTGAAACCATATGTAATGGCTATAACTCTCATGTCGAGGGTAAATAACTCTGCGTATATACTTTGCACATTTCTGATTGTTTATTATTGCTCTCGAGAATTAGCGACTAAAATTTAATCCGCAATGTATTGTGCTTAGGTAACTGCAGAGATAATTGCAACCTATCTATTGGTGTTCGTGACATGTGGTTCGGCTGCTCTTAGCGCTAGCGATGAACACAAAGTCTCTAAACTTGGAGCATCTGTAGCAGGTGGTCTAATAGTCACAGTTATGATCTATGCAGTTGGACACATCTCTGGTGCACATATGAACCCAGCTGTAACCCTGGCTTTTGCAGCTGTTAGTCATTTCCCTTGGAAACAGGTTCGTGTTCTCTCGATAACTCTCCGATGCTATAACATAACCTCTTGCTAGGCTAACGGGTCAGTTCTAAGGCTCCGTTTCTTTCGGATTAAAATAAGATTTTAATTTAACTCAAAGTCAAACAATCAATATTAACCACATCTTTTATGGGTCCCACAACTTTTCAATCATTTATTTCAAAAACTTCTATCACAATCTACTAAAAATCTAATTTTAATCCCCAGCAAACACCCACTAAATCTCGTAAATCTTAAAATACTTTTTTGTTATGCTCTTCATTTTTTTTATTATTATTATTTTTCCATTTAAATTATGTTCTATATTTTATAAGTAGTCGCTGTCTTCTACTTGATTGGCTGGTCCACTGGTTTTGATGTGTACACATGAATGATAAGACCCAATGACAGCATATATGGCCCCTACTTTGTTAGGACCCAATATAGGAATTACCGACATTTTCTTGTTGTACGTATGCACACGAACAGCCAGGTAGACTATTTTGTAATTTAATGAGCAATCATGCAATGGAGTTTAAAAAATGGTTAGTTTTTCCATGAAATCAACTGCTTCTGCTTACACTTATGTTACTGCATCTGTCAACTGTTATATTTTAATTATAATTCAAGTGGAAATTGTAAGAAATGTCCACTTTCTTTTAGTCACTTGTAAAAATGGCAACTTTTAAAAATCTTTGCAAAAATGGCCATTTTTGTATATTTTAGATCAAAATACCGAAGGTCAACAATTTGTGATTCCATTCAAAGACAATAAAATGGACATTTTTGCAAAAAAAAAATATGGGCTAATGAAATCTTGACACATAACCTGCTCCATTTATTGCAAATGACAAGATGTCAAATCATAATTAATGCTATTTTTTACATTGACACAGAAATGTCGAGAACGACATTTCAAGTGTAGAGAAATGTCATGTTTGAAATGAAATATCCTTCTAGACATTTAATATGTCGAGAATGACGTTTTGAAATGTCGAGAACATTTAATATTGTGATTTGACGTGTGTACTATTAAAAAATAAAACGAGATTCAAATATCGAGAATGACATTTTAAATGTCGAGAATACGTAGAGATTCAAATGTCCTTTTTTTTTCATTAAGGGCATAATAGACACTTTAGTATTAAATTTGAAAATTGGACACTTTTCAACTCACATCCTTAATTGTGGACATTCTTGAAAATACCCCTATAATCAATAACATACAACGTATATAAAAATATAAGCCCTAGCAACCAACTACAATCATATAATTAAAATAATTTGGATACGATTGAGCAGTGGAAGCCACATTGAACTGATCGTATCTTAATTTTAATGCTTTTTTAACGAGTAAATTAGGGTTCGATTCCTCAACTTTTCAAGTGTTGTGATCATAGATCTTCAATTTTCAAAAGTGAGGTTTGAATCCTCGACCTATTTGAATCAATAAATTTGGATCTCTACATGGAAAAACCCGTCAATTTTCTGATTGAATTGGAGATGAATATTAAAAATAGGCATTTAAACTACAAAATCAATCTAATTCGATCAATTTTGTTTTGCGGCAAAGCAGTTCGGCAGGTCTCTTTAGAGGTTGAAACTCGTTCGAGTTGCGAGTTCATTGAAAACCCCGAACCAACCCAAGACCTAAACCAAAATTTATAATTCTAAATTAAATAAGTATAATTTTTACAAGCCAAGACCCAAATTTGAAACACACTATGCCACACAGCCTTTTACCTTTCCTCATTTCGAGTCCCTCTCGCATTTCAACTCTCTCCAACACTCAAAATATTATTATCTATTTCTGTCTCTTAGTCAACTAGAATCATCATATAGTGTATCCTTTGGCTCTGGACATGAAACGGAGCAATAAGAAGAGAAAATTCCGAACCAATTGAGAAAGAGAAAAAAATGAAAATCTACGAAATCGTGCAATACTTTTAGCTTAGGTATCGAATTTTTGTGAGTGAGTATAATTTGGAAGCATTTATAGATTCTGAGAATTTCTTATGTACGTTCGAGCAAAATTTGAGCAACACCCGTTCATGTGTTATGAACAAGAATCTTTTTTTTTTTTTTCATTATTCACATTTTCGTCTTTCATCATAATAGAATCACTGTATCATCAAGTGTGAGTCATGCTACTTTTGTTTCTAATTATGTATATTCAAATGTGTTGTAGAATCGAGTTTTTCATGAACATTGATTTTTTTTTTTTTTTTAATGCAAGATATTATAGAAATCCTGAGCTAAAAGGGAGGGGAAATTCATTTTATAGTTAAAAGGGGCAATTGTGGTAGGGAGTTTGGCACGAGGATGAGTGAGTGTTTTGGCTATGAGAGGTTTGGGTTAAGCCCAAATCGAGCTAGCTCGATAATAATCAGTTTGGGTTGGTCTAGTTTTGGTCCCTTATCGGTTTGATTTGGATTTTTCATGTTTCAAATCAAATTGGATTTCGGGTTAGTCCAAAAATCGAACGAACCCGATCGACACCCACCACTACCCCTAGCTGTGAGAGTTGAAGTCATATGTGCTTTTAAAGTCAATACTAAGCCGTCGTATGGCACCCATTTTTTTCTCATTCTCATTCTCATTATTTTTCTCTTTCTTCATTTCAACCACACATTCTATTAATAAAATAATATTACACATAAACCTAAAAATTTTCCTTACTTTTTAACCACATATTCTTTTATCAATCACTATTCAAAAACTAATTTTTCTACTAAAATGGGTGTCAAACACCCCCTAAATGTTTCATTCGCTTGGGAATCTGATGCACCATTTTAAATAAGTCAATACTAATCGAACCAACTCAATAATAATCAGTTTGGGCTGATCCAGTTTTCGAACCTAATTGGTTTGATTTGGGTTGGTCATTTTCCAAATCAAATCGATTGGTTTGATTTCCGATTAGTCCAAAAATTGAACCAACCCGGCCCTTGCCCACCACTACCTCTAACTGTTAGGTATGTGGAAGTCTTGTGTACTTTTAAAGTCAATACTAAATTTGTCATTCGAGGGGATCCAGATTCACCATTTTAAATAAGTTGAGACTCAAAGCTCACTTCAAAAATTGTGAACTCATAACCACACCATATAAAACGTTACTCAGACTGACCCTGATTTATACTTTTCTAGTAAAGCATTAACGGAATCAATTACCCCATATGAATTTGACGAATTAAATATATTGTCGGTCATTCAACTTTGGGTGGAGGTGTATCCAGGTCACCCATTTTTAAATTGGTTCAATTAGATCACCAAACTTCAATTTCATTTATTTATTTATTTTTATTTTTGCAAAATATAGTCACTCATCTTCAATATGGTGCAATCAAGTCACCTAACTTCGTTTTGTTTGCAGGTCTGGTTACTTTGTCCACTGTGTTAGTTTACCTAATGAAATATGTTGATATCGACGTTTAAAATAATAACTAGTTGGCATATAAAGACATGCTTTTAGTTTATACATTTATTATAAAAATATATCTTAAGATAAGTGATATGCATTATTGTATGATGTATACATGTGCAATAGTCCTATTTTAGTTTTAATGTTCATGTTAGAATATTACATTTGTTAAATTGATGGGACAATTCATAGAATTATCAGTTTTGCAGGCAAATCGAAGTTGGGTAACTTGATTCCACCAAACTAAAGATGAGTGACAAGATATGTAAACAAATTAAAATTGGGTGATTTGTTTGCATCAAATTGAAGATAAGTAACCTAGATGCACCTCTCCTATAAGTTTGGTGATCCTTAATGCATTTAACCCATTTTACAACTCAACGGATAGGTCCTACACGATTCTAGTAAGACTCATTCTCTGAACAGCTAAATGAGGGGGCTTATTCTTCTTGGAAGACCATCTCTTGAAGACCTATGTTTAGATTGAAGAGTGAAGCTAGACATGAGTAATGTGCATTAGTGCATAAGATTCTCTCCTCTCCAAACTCTTGACCTCAGAAGCTTGAAATATTTTGAAAAATAAAGTTAGTTGTACAAATATGATTGTCAATCCGTGTCGTCAAAATTCGAGTCTTTGATGTAAAAAAAACAGTTTTTAAAATGGATGAATCTGATGCTATCAATTAAGATGTTGTCAACCAATGTTGTCAATAAAGATTGTGCAAGTAGCACAATCCTATCTTTTTCAAGAGAACGAAATGCAAGGATGAGCAAGTATCAGCAGGTTGAGAAGCTCATCCCAAGTCCTTCGTACTTGCCCAAGTTTCTTATTTGCAACAGTTTATATTCAAGAGTGAAATCGTAGATTGAACCTAATCTTGCAAGCCTTTGTTACCTTTTAAGAGGCATCCGTCCCATATAAACTACCGATTTTGCAGTTTCCCGTCTCTCCTCGCATGATGGGTGCAGCAGTTAGGCATCTCGAGACAACGGAGTGGTATATCAAGATAGGTTGATAAAAGTCACCAACTAATATAATTTAGTGGAAATTGTAAAAAATGTCCACTTTCTTCTAGCCACTTGCAAAAATGGCAACTTTTAAAAATCTTTGCAAAAATGGCCATTTTGATATATTTTAGACCAAAATACCCATGGTCAACAATTTGTGATTCCATTCAAAGACAATAAAATGGACATTTTTGCAAAAAAAAATATGGGCTAATGAAATTTTGACACATAACATGCTCCATTTATTGCAAATGACAAGATGTCAAATCATAATTANAATCGTAGATTGAACCTAATCTTGCAAGCCTTTGTTACCTTTTAAGAGGCATCCGTCCCATATAAACTACCAATTTTGCAGTTTCCCGTCTCCCCTCGCATGATGGGTGCAGCAGTTAGGCATCTCGAGACAACGGAGTGGTATATCGAGATAGGTTGATGGATGTCACCAACTAATATAATTTATCAAATGAATCAATTAATCAAACACAATTAATTAATAACAAAGTCTGAATATAATTTAAAAAAATGTACTAACAGATGATACATCAATCACAATATTACAAAGGAAAAATAAGATAAAGATTCTTTTACAGTTGTCACAATGGTATATCAACCTTTCCGTAAATGCTATTTGCAGGTACCTTTTTACGTAGCTGCACAGATGACCGGAGGAATTTCTGCGGCATTCACTCTTCGTGTGTTATTGCACCCAATAAAACACGTTGGAACCACATCACCTTCTGGAACTGACATTCAGGCTCTTATCATGGAAATAGTTATAACATTTTCTATGATGTTCATCGCCTCAGCTGTAGCAACTGATACAAAAGCTGTAAGGATATATACATCTCAATCACAATTATATTTTTTCATTTCAGAATGTAACTGCTCGCAATATAGATCATAACAATGTCAAGTTGTCATGCCTTAAATTTTGTTAGGTTCTCACTAAATAATTTGGGATTCCTATTGCCACAGATAGGAGAGCTTGCTGGCGTAGCAGTTGGTTCGGCAGTGTGCATCTCATCAATTTTAGGCGGGTAAGTGTTGTATTTTTTATATCGCAAGTATACGATATCAGAACAAGTAATATGGTGGACCTTTGAATCCAAATTAGTATTCTCACAAGGACTAACCTTTTATTCTTAATTTACTATTTCTAACTCCTATTTGATGAAAACAAACAAAGAATTATGATTGATAAGATTTTTAATTTAACTACTTCTAACTAATTGAAAGTATCAAAATTGAATACAAAGATCGAATTGATGTTTTAAATATGGAATGAGATATTAGGGTTTAACAATTGCATCTACTAATCACATTTAAATCTTAATTCAAGATTTATAACATAATTTAGTGTTCTATTGTATTTAATTCATCCTTATCGAGTTCTCATTGAGTATATTTAACTAATCCAATCACACATCTTTATGCAAATCACTTTTAGTTAAACAAAATATTAGTTCTAAGAATTCATTTAATGACCATAATAATTAGTATATGTATCTCTACACGTTATACTAAATTACCAGAATTTAATATGTGGTCTAAATTTAAAACCCACCTCTCGATTCGGAAAAGATTTACAAAATCATTAAATTAGTGATCAAGTAATTCAAAGTATTATATACATAATTAAAATCAATACATAAATAATGAAAAAACTTGAATCTTGAATAAAAATAGTCTCAATTCGATTACATTATTTGCTACAATAGAAAAATTAGTTACTCATAATAATGGAAGAAAAACACAAGATTTACATTGAATACATCATTGGGATTTGACTTGATATGTGAAGAAGTGGATTAATCTTGCGTAAAATTCCTCTTCTTACCTTCAATCTTGATTCCAAACCCAGAGTTTTTATGGGTTTCGAAACGGGCAAAAAATGCTCCTTAGATACATCTAGGTGACACCTCAGGCGTGGTGCCCCAACTCTGTATTGTGCAATTTGGTGCCACGTTTCGGGTACAAATTCACACCGCACTTCTTTCAATATTTTTATCATAACTTTCTCTTCTCGAAATTCTATTGAGACAATTTAAATTGGGTGGTAAAGATAATTCAATGGGTTAGAACTTTACTAGAAGTAATGTTTTTCCTATTCGAACGTTTACGAGGTCAAAAAGAGGTCTCAAACTCAGACAAAAAATCTGGAACATACTTGTGCGATTGAAAACTGATTTGTGAACATTTTTTTTTTTTGTCATATTTCACTTCTTTTTTATTTCTAATTAAATCCAATTGACCCCTAGCATTTTCGAATCTTTATCACGAGGTCCAATACAACTTTTAAGTATTTACACTTTAGTGTTCAAACTTTGGATTTTATCTCTTTTCGCCAATTTTCTTCAATTCCACTTCCATTTATCCAGTTTTACCTAATAATATATTATATAATAAATTAGGCTATAATTTCATTAAAAGAAGTACGGAATATCAATATTTTAGAATTCGAATAAGTATATAAAATACATTTATCAGTAAGTATAAGATTACAAGTCTTTCAAACATGTTTAGTACGTTGAACTCTACTCAATTGAAAAGGATTTTAAAAAAAGACGTATCTAACTAAATTTGCCAATTGTTGACGCAATCATGTCAAGTTCAACGTGTTAAAAAACTCATTATAGTTTGAGTTATGATCCCATTAAACTATTATAAATGTATCTTCAAAAAGTACAACTTTTTCATTTTTGAAATTGAAACTCTTTAAAAACTTTGTGAAACTCAAAAAGAGTTTCTCAATTTTTTGTTTTTTCAAAAACATTCAGAAACAACTTTACAAAAACTTAAAAGGAACTTAGAACTTCGAAGAAAAATAAATAAATTGTTAGCTCTAGAAATAAACTAGTTTGTTTAAATATCCACCAGAAAATGAAAGTAATATATTTTCTGCCAATGATGTTATAAATTCATTCTTTTATATTACATAATAATACATCAAATTCACATTTTGGTTTCACTTATTGTCGTATATTTCAAATTCTATTAATCTTAAATATTTTTCTTAAATTTAATTAGATGATTATATTATAATAACCGGGACGTGTATTATTTATAGAATGCGTCAACAACGTTTTGCATCCTTCCTTTTTAGAAATAGTATTTATACGTGTCACGTTCTAGTTTCTATTTTCTTGAAACCTCAACACACAAAATTGTGTCTTGCAATTATTTAATACGCACGAACACTAATGCTATGTAGCATCACTAGTCTAGGTTTTAGTGGATTACACCTCCTATGCTTGGTTATAGTTAATAAATTACAATGAATCATCGATAACAAAATTTGGAATTCACTGCCACTCAATTGGGTGCTATGTAACTTCATAGATGTGACTGTGTGATAAACTAAGTAATTACTGGGTCGTACCCTAAACTCCGATTCTCAATAATGGCTCAATATCAAAAGTGGAAACTATAGTCTACTAGAATTTTAAACTTCCCATTTCACAATTAAGATTTATAATTTTTTTTAGGGTTTAGTTTTTCTTTTTTCAAAAATCAGATGAGAATCAAAGCTTTAAACATTAATAATTATATTACATTATTTTTATAAAAATAAATTAATTTATATGCACCCTACCCCATCCACCCACCACGATTTCAAAACCCTAAATCGTTCTCATTCTTTTCTGTCTTCTCTCTCTCTATCGGTGGCTCCCTTTCTCGATTTTCACATCAACGACGAGTTATCATTCTCTCCGCTTTCTCTCTTCTGGCAGTACTCTCCCCCTCTCTCGATTTTCACACTATCATTTGTTGCAGCTTTGAGCTGCCGTTTGCAACAGTGACGCCCGACCTTGAGGCACTGTTTTTGCAACAACCGTTCTAGGCTTTGCGCCTTTCAGGAGCACTAAAAATTAGGTTTGGCTGTTGTTTTGTGTTGGACCTTGTAGCGATGGTGCTATGGCTGTAGTGGCTGGTTGGTATTGATGGCGACAATGATAGAGTGGTTCTGGACGGTGCACCTTTTCATGCGCACTAGAAATTAGGTTTGGCTATTGTTTTTGTGTTAATGTTGGTGGCATGGAAGTAGCAGTGGTATCGTGGTCGTGGTGACTAGTTCGTGTCATTGGCGGTGCCATGGTGATAGCGACAACAACGACAATAGAGTGGTTCTAGACGGTGCACCTTCTCAAGCTCACTAGAAATTAGGTTTGGCGGTTGTTTTGTGTTGGTGTTGGTGGCATGGAGGTGGCTGTGGTGCCATGGTGGTGGCAATAGAACGAAGTGGTTTTGTTGGATCTATTGGTGGCGATGGTTTTTGTTGGTGGATCTAGTGGTTGGGGTGATTTTTGTTGGATCTAGTGGTAGATCTGATAGTGGCAATTGTGGTTTTGTAATTGAAAATGATGGTTTACTGATGATTGTGGTGGTGGTTTTGAAGTTAAAAATGGTAGTTTAGTGGCGGCGGCGGCGATGCTAACCGTGGTGATAAGGTTGCATTGCTTTCAATTGGTGTAATTGTAGATTGGGATTGGGTGGTGTAGGTGGTGGGATTAATAGTGTTTGTGACCAATTATTGAGATTGTGAACAATAAATAATATGTAACTGATAACTTGTGACAAATAAATAATATGTGATCTAAAAGCTTGGGTTACTTATCTACACTGACACACTATTTGATTCCAATTACTGGGTCGTACCCTAAACTCCGATTCTCAATAAAGGCTCAATATCAAAAGTGGTAACTATAGTCTAATGGAATTTTAAACTTCCCATTTCACAATTGAGATTTGCAATTTTTTTAGGGTTTAGTTTGATGACAATCAAAGCTTTAAACATTAATAATTATATTACATTATTTTTATAAAACTAAATTAATTTATATGCATCCTACCCCGATTTCAAAACCCTAAATCCTTCTCATTTTTTTCTGTGTTCTCTCTCTCTCTCTCTCTATCGGTGGCTCCCTTTCTCGATTTTCACATCAGCAACGAGTTATCATTCTCTCCGCTTTATCTCTTCTGGCGGTACTCTCCCCCTCTCTCGATTTTCACACTATCATTTGTTGCAGTTTTGCCCTGCCGTTTGCAGCAGTGACGCCCGACCTTGAGGCGCTGCTTTTGCAACAACCGTTCTAGGCGTTGCTCCTTTCAGGAGCACTAAAAATTAGGTTTGGTTGTTGTTTTGTGTTGGACCTTGTAGCGATGGTGCTATGGTTGTAGTGGCTGGTTGGTATTGATGGCAATGCCGTGGTGATGGCGACGATGATAGAGTGGTTCTGGAAGTTGCACCTTTTCATGCGCACTAGAAATTAGGTTTGGCTATTGCTTTTGTGTTAATGTTGGTGGCATGGAAGTAGCAGTGGTATCGTGGTTGTGGTGACTTGTTGGTGTCGTTGGCGGTGCCATGGTGATAGCGACAACAACGACAATAGAGTGGTTCCAGACGGTGCACCTTCTCAGGCTCACTAGAAATTAGGTTTGGCGGTTGTTTTGTGTTGGTGCTGGTGGCATGGAGGTGGCAGTGGTGCCATGGTGGTGGCAATAGAACGAAGTGGTTTTGTTGGATCTGTTGGTGGCGATGGTTTTTGTTGGTGGGTCTGGTGGTTGGGGTGATTTTTGATGGATCTAGTGGTAGATCTAATAGTGGCAATTGTGGTTTTGTAATTGAAAATGGTGGTTTACTGATGGTTGTGGTGGTGGTTTTGAAGTTAAAAATGGTAGTTTAGTGGCGGCGATGCTAGCTGTGGTGATAAGGTTGCATTGCTTTCAATTGGTGTAATTGTAGATTGGGATTGGGTGGTGTAGATGGTGGGATTAATAGTGTTTGTGACCAATTATTGAGATTGTGATCAATAAATAATATGTAACTGATAACTTGTGACAAATAAATAATATGTGATCTAAAAGCTTGGGTTACTTGTAAAATTGTGATTTGTGACTTAAATTATTTTTTTGATTCGTGACAGATGAATAAATCGCGACTTATAAAAAATTTTATTTATGACCGTGAAATAATTTCTGACTTATAAAATTTCTTATTTGTGACCAATGCATTTGATAAATTGTGACCAAATTGCATAGAATTATGATTTTAATATATTTAATCAATAAAATATATTTTTAACTATTCATAAATAAAATTTAATTGGTATATGATTTTTGAAATTTTAATCTTTCTTAATTTTGAAATGGGTTATACTTAATTTCTTGTATACATAATTTTTCCATATCAAAAGCCGTATACTAACTAGTTTTCTCATGGCATGTCCAGACCAATATCAGGTGGATCAATGAACCCAGCAAGGAGTATTGGGCCTGCAATTGCTAGTGCCTATTACAAAGGTATTTGGGTGTACATAATTGGGCCTGTATGTGGGACATTACTTGGGGCCATGTCCTACAATTTCATCCGGGACTCGGACAGACCTGCCCGTGCAGTATTACCTCTCAGTCAGTTTCCTTCAAACTTTGCCGATTAAGGAGCAATAATGAACAGATTGCATATAATCATACTCTTAACCCGCTGTAACAAGTGAAGCTCCTGCTCATATCAAGCCTCCATTTTAGAGATTGTAATCATAAACAAAATATATTAATATCTGTACTGGTACACACGTTTGTGATGTAATTTGTATGTTTGTAATATATAGCTGCATTTTGATTGTGAACCTAGTATTTTATGTATGACGTAACTTCGAGCGAGAGAGTTATTCCAAATGGGGGAGGCGAGAGAGAGGAACGTTCATTTTGAAACAAATGCACATAATTACTTCAAAATCAAAGGGAATGCAGTTAATGGCAAAACTATCTCTCTTATTCTCTTACTAAAATACAACAAAAAACGAGATTTTCTCGAGAACTTAAGAACAAGAGTGGCCATCAGCCAAAGCCACCTAAACAATAGTCTAGGGGCACAAAATTTGAGGGACTCGTAAAAAAGAACCCTCCCCACAACCCCCCCAAGTAAGACCAACCACTAAAAAAACCCTAGGTTTGAACCAGGGGCAGACGCAGACATTTTAGGTTGGGGGAACAATCAAACCCTGCACAAATCGAATTTTTTGTTCTTGATTTTTGAATAATTCATACTTGATTACTTGACTTGAAACAATGCAGATTTACATTTAAAAAAAAAATTCTTCATTAATATTTTGTTAATCATTTTCATCTTTTTAATTTCGAAGAGTTATTTTATTAATATTTAAATCAATTCAAGTAATCGAAATGAATATAACTAATATTCAATACTAATAATCAAACAAATAAACACAATTCGTTAAATATAAGTTAAATTGGATATAATGAGTTCAGACACATTCTATATACACATTTTGAAAGGAGAAAATGCAAATATAGGTTCTAATTACTTGAAAATTTGATTGGAAAGTGAAGATTTGTAGTAAATGTGATATTATCATTATGTGAGTTTCTAAGGAGTACTAATAGTAACACTGAAAATTAACAATCTCAAAACTTTATTATAGTATTGCTACTTTAGCATATTGCCAAGTATCATGAATAATTCGATGTAATAGGATATGTCTAGGAAAGCAAATATTTTAAGGATAAGTGTTTCAAGTAGAAAGGAAAGATTATTCTATCTAGCATGCTCGTATTCATTGGTCGAATAATTCTATTAACTAATTGTAGTTTTGAACACAATTGTGAATACAACGTGTTATGTGGAGTTTAAGTGTGCTCTTGGTTAATTGAGGAATCAGGAAAACTTGAACTAGACATAAAAAAGAAGTTTAGGGTATGGCAATAAATGTGGTTACTTTTGTAGAGTTGCTATATATTCCTAATTGGTGTATAACATTGGATAGTTACTTGTGAATCACACAATTCATTTGTCAGTATAAACTCTTGGAGCTAGATCTTCTGATAGATCTAATTGATGATTGATAATTTTAAGTCAAGTTCATTATGTACGAGTGGGAAATCATGGAGATGGGCGAGTGGCCCCTGTGAGTTAACTAGACTGTAGATTGAAATGGTTTAATTGGAAATATTATTATTTGAATTGTGAAACAACTTCCAACCATACTAGCTAAAATATACAATAACTCTTTTGAATTTCTTGTGAGTGTGGAAGTTGATATATCTCAAGAAAAACCCAAGAAAATTCGTATGCAAAAATGGTGGTCAATTGAAAGGGCAAGAAATCACATTTTTGGGCCATTCAAATGCATTTGAACAGTACCAAATGAACTCCTTCCCTTCGATAGAGTTTTGGACTGAGGAATACAAGAAAAATCAAAGCAAGTAATTCAATCAATTTAATCTTGATTCAACTTAATTTAACAAGTAGAAGCACATGCTAGGTAGAGAATTATAGCGAAACTATCTGCTAATGCAGACTTTGATCCAATGAGTTATTTCCTATAGTTCATAGTCCACTGTGCATCACTTTTTAAACAAGTTGGAGTTCACAACAAAAAGTTTGATTCAAACCCATTAGAGATCGATGCTAGTTAAAATAGCTTCCATAAATAGATAAACCACTCCTGCACTTGAGATAATCCCAAAATGGAGTGGCATAGTAGAAGTTTACAATGGTCATATAACAAAAATTAGACATCAAAACTATAAAAAGCCAATAGCAATAACAGAAAGATTTCATGGTTAGCACTGCAGCTTTTATGACCGATGAAAGTAAGAACTAAAGAGGCCATTTTTCAATGGCATTTTGGTCCTCCTTCCTTGGTCTTCCAGTTGTTGTAGCAAGGGCAAACATTTTTATTCCCATAATAACCTGGTGGCACACAAAGGCACTTTCTGCAGCGCTTCTGGCAGAACATGCAAGGTTTGTGGTATTGTGTCTGGCTACATCTCCTTGAGCATTGTGAAGGGCATTCTAGTCATTTGACATGTGGCAGAAAGTGACAGAAAAAAAGGAAAAATCAGTACCTTTTTGACTATTAGTCAAAGAATGCAGTGAAAATGTCATTATAAAAAATCTGACCATTTGTCCAACTACCTTGACTTGACAAATAGGTGTTAAATTTTATGAGAGTTCCTCTGGGCCAGACATGAAGGGGATCTCAAGATTTGAAGCCATAGTTTCCTCTTTTTTTTTTTTTTTGATATTCAGGTATGCCAACTTACACCAGATTATGTCCTGGACCATCCATATCCGATCCCTCAGTGATGGGTGAAGCCATAGTTTCTTGATACAAGCTAAGATTTGTGCAGCATTAGATAGAATTAACTACTAGTTTAACTAGTTCAATCTATTGACTGGTTTAACTAGCTCAACCGGTCATTTCGGACAAATCTTTCGTCATGTTTTAGTTTCTTTTCCTTTAAATGCAACATAGTCACACAAGCCATAAGAAATCACAAGTTCTTTAAGAGGAACCGAAGAACAAATTACAGAGAGAGCACAAGATTATGACACTTAAGAAAGCTTTTGAGGCGGCCAGGACCATATCCACTCTGCATTATAAAAAAAAATAAAAAATATCAGCATAGATTCTCAAACAAGAAAATACCTCAAGATTTCAGAAAAATAGAAATAAAAGAAAGGTATTCTAAATTTCTAAAAAGAATCTAACCTTATTGGAGTGCCCACCCAGGGACGGACCTCGGGGGTCACGTGCCCCCCCATCTCCCAGATTTTGAATTTTTTTTTGTTTTAGAATAAAGGAAAACAAGATATTGGGGGAAGGACTTCAAATCCCTAATTTCCGTCTCCACTCCTCTCCCGTCACCACTCTTCACTCTCCCATTTCTACTATGAAATTTGTCGGATTTTTAATACATTATTTTTGGTTTTGAAATATTTCTGTTTTGATTATTGTAATTTAAATTTGAATAGAAGTGATGGTGTTGCTGTTGGTGGCTCAAAGTGCTGGCGTCCTCTCGAGAATGATGGGTAGAAATCAATCAATTTTGTTGAAGAAATTGATGCTACCATGAAGAGGGTTGACCTCTGTCCTATTGAGATTTGACTATCCAAACCCATCTTCAATCCTCGTGCTTACTTGCTGAGCCAAGAGCTGTCAAATTCATGGTTAGAAGTAGTAGATTTAAGATGAGTAGTTCAATCAATTTTCTAATATGAGTTGAGAACACAAGGCTTTAACTTAATAGAAATGGGGAAACAACATCTTTATTTAAGTTCTGATTGTAATGTTTGAGCTCATTCACCTACTAGTTTGGAGTGCGTTAGACTTTATTTTTAGAAGGATTTTAAGGATATAAAACCATACAATGTAATTCTCTAAACTGATGAATTCATCTTAAATGCCCATATTTGGATTTTCATTCTGCAGCAGTTAATGAGGCTTTAACTATTTTATGCAGCAAATATTTGTAATCGATTATACAAAGTGCTACTTTCCATGAATCCTGACAACTACAGGTATATTATATGATCATCGACTAAGAAAAGTCTTATTTTTACTTATGAAGTTCTAGTTTCCTCATGTAGTAGAAATTGATTGTACACTTTTGACGGCTAACAGAAAATGAGAAGAAGATTGCTTCAACTTGATGCCTACTTTATTATGTAAATACATCACTGTGTTTTGTTTAAATTCTATCATAGAGAATATGAGAATTGCCATGTTGACTCTGGATTTAATCAGTTGTTTGTGCTTATACATGTGTTATTCTTTAGCATACATGGTGCTTTATTTTCCTTGTCTTCCAACCACACTAGGTCCCTCTCCCCAACCCACAAAACCCGAACACAAAAGAGAAAAATTGGAAACACGAATAATATAATAATGAATGCTATACTGTTATTCATACCGTGCAGTGGTCTAAGTGACATCATTTGAGCATTCAAGAAAATTTACTGAAGCAGTGAAGCTAAACAAATGCTTAGTGGTTGTAAGGTGGATGAGAAGTCTGGTACTCATACCATTAAAATAGGAAATGGAAATATTGAGAGGTATTTTTTGATACCCATATGGGCTAAATTTTAATTTGCAATAATGAACAGAAAGGTGAGCAAAAATTTCTTGTTTTATTTTTAGCTTTTTGCTATATGATTAAGAAATCAGAGCTTATGGCTTATGAAGTTGAGTTCTTTGCTTGTTAAAATCAAGGTTCAGATGTCCATCATTTTGTTTGATTTCTCTTACATATTTAAGAAGTATCTTTGAGAATTTCTTGTTTTCT